TCTCCATTGCCGTGTTATTACATTCTCTGTGTTAATTTTGGTATTTGTACTTTGAGAGCTAGTATTTTCTGAGGGGGGAGAAAATTCTTTGTTTCACTGGACATACTGTTTTATTAATATTTTCCTCTTTCTTTATCTTGAATAACTACAGGACTTCTGGGACCAACCCTGCGTGCTGAAGTGGGAGATACTTTAGTGGTTCACCTTAAAAATATGGCTGACAAGCCAGTCAGTATTCATCCTCAAGGCCTAGTTTACAGCAAAAATGAAGAAGGTAAATACTGTAGAAACTCCATGTTTTGCTCATTTGCTTGTAGACTACTGCATGAAATGTTGATAGGGATCCAGATCAATGTGTGAAGCTATGTGTAACACAGATATCTGTTGATCCTGGATTACACCTTCACCTCCATTGTTAGCTCCTTTCTTGTTCATCAGTGTAACACTAGGAATGTGAATGTCATGAGCACAGTTTCCTAACAGTGCTGATCATGTTGTTCTGATACTCAGCATTTAATGCTCAGATTCCTGGTGCTTTGCTCCACACACTCATGAGACCAGCAAAAAGAGATTGTAAACTCTGACCAAATGGACAGTAAAATATCTGTCCCAGCACGAAGTGAGTTTGGTTGCTCATACTTCCTGGATTGCCCTGCCCTGGGTGCTTAGCCAGAGCTTTGGCCTACAGTTTACAAATTCATGCAAGGCTTTGGTTTTTGTGTGGGTGCAAAAGAAGTCTTGCAGCTCCATCTCATGGAGTTGAACAGAACATCTCATTGGAAGGGATGGGCAGTTCAGTTTGACTATCAAATTAATTAATGTACCTTTTGCACTTCAGATTTCGATTCTCTGTCTCCCCTTTGTCATATTGCAGATCTGTTGGCTATAGCAGGCATAGACACAAGCCATTAACTGCTTCCATATGTGGATGTGCAGTATACAAAAGGCCTAAGGCAGCAAGGCATTGCCAGCCCATGCAGTGGCTTTGAGAGACAATTAGAAAGGTGAGAGAGTCAGCAGCATTCCTCTGCAGAGCATCAGTGAGCAGAGGCTGAAGCTTCATCCCGTCCTAACCCTAGTCAGACTGATCAAGAGCCCAGCCTTTTGGCAGTGATGATACTTCTAGGAAATCTTTAATCTATAAGAAACAGGATGGTGGTGGATTAGCTACTCTCCCCATGCTACTGTCAGCAATGTGTGAGTGGAATCATGAGTTATCTCTTTGAAGCTGAAGTATCATATAAGCAAGATCAAACCAAGCTTTTGGAGCTGATTGTAGAAAGATATTTCAAGCATTTTAATTGCTCTTTTTCTTCATGCCGCCCTACTGACTCTTTTCTTGGCAGGCTCCCTGTATGATGACAGAACATCACCTGCAGAAAAACAAGATGATGCTGTACTTCCAGGCCAGCTCTACACATATGTGTGGGATATACCAGAAGAAGTTGGTCCAAGAGAAGCTGACCTTCCTTGTCTTACTTATGCTTATTATTCTCATGAGAACATGGCAATGGATTTTAACTCTGGTCTGATTGGAGCATTGCTGATCTGTAAGAAAGGTAATGAAATGCTTTAAGACCACTATAAGGTAATATATTTTTATTTCTAACAAAGAGGATGATGTATGATAATGAGACTTCTCTCATTATTTTCTTTTTCGCATCTTTACATGCAGTGTAAAATGAATGTTTTTTAACATCATTCTTTTAGATGTTAGAGTTTTTAAATGCCAGCTTTCATGCAATTGCATCCTATAATTATAGAACGGGCAGAAAACATTAATATATAGATACATTTGCCTGCACTGGTTGCATCTGCAGTTGCTTAACTGCTAAATATATGACCTCAAATTTCCTGTCTAAGAATAAATCTTTTCTAAAACTTCATTCAAAATGGTTTGCCCATTTTGGAGAATAAGGCGGCAAATAATTGTTTTACCCATTGTCTTTTAAAGGCTGTCTGATCAAGAGCCTGGAACACTCTCTCTTCTGTAACATGGCTTTAAAATTGCAGAGCAGTCTGTCTTTTGCTAGTAATTTGAAGATATGGCCAAATTTGAACAGATTTTAAGTCTTAAAATTGTTTTTGCCTCTGATCAGAGACTTTAGATTTTAGCAGTCTGAACCATTGAATTCTATCTCCACTAATAACTGGTGTCTTGTAGCACTTGTAAACAGCTGCTAGATCTGTCTCCCTGGTTTGAAGGATGACTGAAACAACATGCCACCGTGTAAAGTACTTAAACTACTTAGTGGTCCCTTAAATCCAAGTTTTTTCCAAATTGTATATTCTTCTTGTGGTGCATGTGCTGTGAGTTATTTAGCCTGATTTAGTTTGAGTGAAAAATTTGTGTAGACTAAACTGCATGGACTTGGACCTTAAAGCTTCCCTGAAAGTAAACAGAGCACTGGTTCAGTGTGGGTTGCACAAGGACCGTCTCCTCACCCATAGATACCCATTTTAATGCAGAACACACCTACTCTTATCACCCCAAAGGAATTGCGTTAGTATTAATTATGTTCCTCTTGAATTTTTTTGTTGATTGGTGCTTTTAGTATTATTTAGGACTTGTTGCTTTCCTGATTTTCCTGGGTTTTCTTTCTCTGACTTTCTGTGTATATGCATATTTTATGGCATACTAGTTGAGCTAATCTGGGCTACTTTGAAACTACTTCCTTCTCAGGCTTCTCAAATTCATGCATTTTGGTCTTGAGTAGGTCATGAATTTGAGATGGACTGGTGTGACCACTGCCTTCAAGAAAATTTGTGTGCATGTTTCTGGCTAAAACAAAGACAAACAGCTCACTATGCATATTTTTAAGATTGCTGAACACAGATTTTTGACTGTGAACTGTGTCTGGTAAATGTGCAACGTACCTGTGGATTTGGTCTGCCTGGCATGGAGTTTACTTTCTTCACAGCAGCTCATGTACTGCTGTGTTTTGGATTTGTGGCTTAATATCATCAGTAATACACTCACCCATGTTTGAGCTGTTGCTGAACAGTACTTGCACAATGTCAAAGCTTTCTCTTTTTCCTCAGACCTCCCCAAATGGTGGGCTGGGGGTGGACAAGAGGTTGGGAGGAGACCAATCTGGACACATGAAACAGATTGGCCAAAGGGTTATTTTCTACCATTAACATCATTCTGCAATAAAAAATGGAGCAGAGGAGGAAGCAAGAGTGTGGGCAGAATGAGGGGTGTTTACTTCCAATGTGACAGTTTTTGAGAGACTGTCTGGGCATCAGTCAGCTTGTAGAAGATGAGTGACTTTTTTCTGTTGTTGCTTGTTTTCCCCCCTTTCCTTCACCTTTGAACCGTCTCTGTTGATCCATGAGTTTTCTCATTTTTGTTCCTCCTTTCTCTCTCCTGTCCCATTGGGGATGGGAAGGCATTGAAGTGGGGGTTTGGCTGCTGGTTAGGGTCAGCTCCCCACGGTCTGACACATTTAATAGGTGGTTAAGGTTATAAAAAAGTGGACTTTTGAGTTAAAGCACTGCCTGAATGTTCTTTGTGTGGCAAGTAGATAAATTCCTCTGTTGATCCGAGGCTTCTTTTGTGAAGAAAACTAGAACTTTGTAGCTTCCCATAAATAAAAAATATATTAATGATAATTTCTTCCACTGCCTCTTTTCCTAGGTAGAATAATCAATAAGTCTGCAAAATCTTCATTCTTGCAATCCAGAGGGACCAGATTATGTTTTGAAAGTAGCAAATGGAAGTTTTTAGTGTGAGTGATCTACAGAAAGAATCCGTAAAAATCACACCAGTTCTGTGTGGCATGTCCAGAATGAATTCTACTTCTTGACAGAAGTTACATCTGTATCACAAAATCACCCAGGACAGTTTCTTGTAACTGATCCAGTGTAGGAGTGTCTGTTGAAGTCTTTTGTGTGTAAATGTTATTCTCTGAGTGGCTGGTTTTAAACTTTTTAAAGGCTCATGACCTCAGTGTTTGAAAAGGTGCTGTTCACACTGCTGGTGACTCTGCCGTTGCTCTTCTCCTTGCCTCACAGTCTGAAAAGAGAGGGCAGCACCTGATTGTGAACTAAAGGTGTTTGACACTCCCCTTCTTTAAGATGATCTCTGCAACACATTGCCAGAAATTGACTGAGACAATTCATTGCATGATGTTTATCTTCTCTGGAATTCTTCAGACTTTTGATTTTGTGGTTGCCCAATCCAAAAGTACTTCCAGATATAAAATCACATTATGAGCATTCTTAAGGCTTTGTTTGGATTAGGCTCAGCCAGTACATACTAACAGGTGAAATAAGCTCATTACATATATATTAATGCAACTGCATGTGAAATCTGCTTTATTTCTGCTTCAAATTAAGACCTGTTGTTTCTCCTTCACAGGAAGTCTAAATGAGGATGGGTCACAGAAACATTTTGACAGGGAATATGTACTGTTGTTTGGTGTGTTTGATGAGAACAAGAGTTGGCAAACATCAGCATCGGTCAAGTATACAGTTAATGGCTATACTGATGGAACATTACCAGGTACTGTTCCGGCTTATGTGAAATGAAACTAACATTTATGAACACTGAATATCACCTTTAGTTGCTTTTTATGCACAGGAATGGCAATGTGGAGAAATGGAATACAGTCTTTTTTAGAATATGTCTGTGAGCATCTGAATTTTGGAAGAAAAACTGTGCTGCTGAAAGGAAGTAACACCAGATTACTGATAGGAGCAATGAGATTACTTCTAAGAAGACTTCTGCTTGAAGAAAAGGATTACTAACTTAAAAAGAAAAAAATATTTAATAAGCTCCTCATTTTTTTTAACAAGCTGATGGTGAGAGAGTGATTTAAGTGAATTGTTGGTTCTACATCATATAGAAAATACTGGGTGCAAAACTTCCTGAAAGTGGAAAGACAGTTATCATTAAAAGACACAATCAAGTGAGAAGACTAGGAAGATGGTAGTGGGGCTTTTCCTAACAAAAAACTTTAATATCTCTCTCCCATCCATTGAGCAAATACAAAAGGTTGTCTTAAGTGGGTTTTTTTTAATTTTGAGAAGGGTAGTTACTGTCACTAGGTATCACATCAGTCTTTAGCTTAGATCCTTGCTTTGTTCTTTCCATTCCCTGCCTGCCCTGTTTTCCCCTCACTCCCCAAGCAAGGACAGGTCAGCTTTCCGAAAGAAGGCACTGGTTTTTTTCCCCGTTTTTTGCCAGCTTGTTGTAAGTCACTTTGTCACTTGTAGGTAAGATTTAAACATTTGTCTTCCACTGACACATGATTTTGGTATCTGTTCCACTTACATGCTTCTGAAACTTCCTCTTGTTGAAAACATTGATCACAGCAATTTTTTTTAATGTTTTCAGTGAAGACTCACTTCAAATCTAGGGTGCATGGGGAGCTTGCATGATTTGCCTGTATTCTGAACCCTGTCTCATGTCTCTTTCAGATTTAGAGGCTTGCGCATATGACAACATTAGCTGGCACTTGATAGGAATGAGTTCCAAGCCAGAAATCTTCTCCATTCATATCAATGGCCAGTCCATGGAGCAAAAACATCGTCGAGTTTCTGCTGTTAATTTGGTGGGAGGAGCCTCAACCACCGTAAACATGACAGTGACTGAGGAAGGAAGGTGGCTCATATCGTCTCTTGTCCAAAAGCACCTGCAAGGCAAGGAAACATCTAGTTATTAGGCACCTGAAAAGCTGTCCTTTTCTATGTCTCAAATGGCTTCTGCTGTTTTACAGTGGTACAGTTAATCTGTTTCAGGTGGTTTTGTCATTTCACTAAGAAATTGACCAAGAACCAGACATTGTGTTGGAAGTGCATGGTGAACTGAAAGATGTACTTACCTGCAGCTTTACTGCAGTCTCCACAGCATAGAACAACAGAGATTCAATACTCCAGCATATAAGTCTCTGTAAACTGTTCAGATAAGCATCACTATAAAATTAGTCACTATAAAATTAGTAAGAGCCACCTGTTTCCTGAGAAACTGAGTACTTTCAGCTAAGGGTACTTCCATGTAATGAAAATGTTTTCTGTTTGCCATTTGAAAGTGATATCTTTCAGCAATGATCAGAATTCTGTTTTAAAGAATGAGAAAAATATCTCTCTTATAGGAGGTGGAGATATCTTTTGGGGGATAAAAAACAGCTGAAGTGGTAAGAGTTCCTCAGATGGGAAATCACTATGGTCCTGTTTCCTCTCAATTAGCTGGAATGCACGGTTACCTCACTGTAAGGGACTGTGGGGACAAAGAGCTGAAGAAGAGTCGTCTCTCCTATAGAGAACGTCTTATGGTCAAAACCTGGGACTATTTCATTGCTGCAGAAGAAGTTACCTGGGATTATGCCCCAAGTATTCCAGACACCCTTGACAGGTAAAATACTAGTTTGTCAGTGTAATAGGGAACGCTAACATGAAATCACAGAATAATTGTCATTGGAAAGAACCTCTTGGTATCCAACAGCAAGGCTGGATCCAGTTGCACTGGACCTTATGCAGTTGCATTTTTATTTTTTTCCAAGTACAGTAACCCCTAAGCTTCTCTTGGCATCTTTGAAACTTCACAGTGAAAAAGTTTTTCCTTATATCTAAATGTTCTTCATGTTGCACCTTGTGGCCATTGTGTCTCATGTCTTCGCCATGCAGCTTTGAGAAACATGTGGTCCTGTTTTCTCTATAATGTCAATTTGATAGTTGAGGTTAAACATAAAATGCTCCCTTAGCTATGCCTTTGCCTGACTGAAGAAAGTGGAATTTTGCTTCTATGCCAAGTGCTCTGGCTCCTTGATCACCATGGTGGCCCTTCACTGGACTCTCACCAGTGTCAGTGACTTTCTTTGCTGAGAAGCCCAACAGTAGACACCTTCTTTTTCTTCTCACAGGGAGCCCAAAATAACAAGATGACTGAGGAATTGTACAAAGTAGAATACAAGCTTATTTTCTAAAATACTTTTCAGCATCAGTTCTGCTGAAATAAACAATCCTTAAAAGGAAGAGAAAGGGAGGAAGGGAATATTTCTGGAGATTAAAAGTTTTTAAAAGTTCAGTACAATAAAGTGTTTAGGGAACAGGAGAAAGCTCTTTATAAATGATATCTGCACAGTACCAATATAGATGGACGGGAAGTCATAATAAATAAGTCTGTTGGGCTATTTTGCTCAACTTAAGACAAATCGAAGGAATTCTGTAACATACATGATGTATACAGTGCTGTCAGTGCACTGTGGGGTTAAATTTGCAATCTGTCAGTTCCCCAGTGCTATTTGTGCCTTTACGAGCCTTTACAAGCTGATATTCATAAGAATCTTTAAGGATTTAAGCAGAACAAAACAAATTCCTTATTCTGTGAGGGTTATAGTTTCATATGCCTTCTTAGAAATACATTGTTTGCACAATTCATTCTCCTTTGGCATTTGCTTCCCTTATGTGCTCTTGAACTGCACAGAACAATCTTTTATATCTTTCCTCCCAGTCACACTGCCTTACTTAATAATCTCAGTTCTCTGATTTTTCCTCCTTTGTTCAAAACTTCAGAGTTTATCCCTTTTCAGTAACCTTTTTTCAAGTGTGGGTGACAGCAAAAAAAAGTTTGAAACCTCAGTATAACACTACTGTATAGTGCCTGACTGCGATTAAGATTGTGTTCCTATTTCTCCTGGAGTCTTTGCTAGTGTGAGCAAATTGGGATTTTTTTTCTCCATGCTCAACTAGGCCTTTGAAAAAGGAGAACAGTGATTTCTATCTTACCTTGAAAGTGTACCTGCTGCTTCAGTTTGTTTCATACTTGTATGTACACTGTTAAATTAAATGTAAACTATGATATTAATTGGTCATATGTAAAACACAAGTAATGATTGAAGATTCTTCTTACCTAATTTAGGTTAAAATTTGGGGTGAAAAGCATTAGGTTAGTTTAGGGTTTGGATTTTTTTTTCAAGCAGTGACATTTCTAACAGTTGCTTAAATACTAATTTTGTATTTTAACAGATGCTGCTATTCAAGTTTTGTTGATAATTTTTCTTTTCCTTTATTTTTAAGACACTATAAATCACAACACTTGGACAACTTCTCCAATCTCATAGGTAAAAGGTATAAAAAGGCTATTTTTACACAATATACTGATGCCAGCTTCACTAAACGTCTGGAAAATCCTCGTCCCAAGGAAACTGGAATCTTGGGCCCTATTATCAGAGCTCAAATCAATGATAAAGTCAGAGTAAGTTACACAAATACAGGAAATATTTATACTATAGCATGCTTTTCATTGAGGTAGAGATACAAAGGAATTAGTGTGATTTTTGTTGTCTTTCAAATAATATAGCTAATGTTCTAAATATTGGCCCTGTTAAAAGGTATGATCACAAGTAACAGTGTTTAGCTTGCATTTTTCAGTGTTCCTTCTATAATTTCCATGATTGTGCTTTATTTTACATAAACATGCTTCAGTCACACACTCTGTAAAATATATGTTGACACTGGTCCAAAATGGGATAAAAGCCCTAGACCTATGTGGACTTCTTAGGGCATTTGTGAGGCTGAACTTCATAAGCCTCTTGTTTCTTATGCTGATATTTTTTCTGGCTGTTTTATACAAAGGTAATCAGTTTCCATAATCAAATGTTATTTCATGAGGTTATACCATGAAACTACAAAATATTTGCATTACAACTTGTGCTGCCACAACATCCACTTGTCTTACTGTTGTCATTTAATGATGCATCACAAAGTTCCATAACCTTTAGCTTCTGTCATTTCCACCATGACTCTGTGGTTCTGAATTTGAGCTTAGCATGTTCCTTTTTTCCTTTTTTCCTTTTCTCTTTTTCTTTTTTTTTTTTTTAATCCCAATTTTGTCAAATAGGCAGGAAATTTTGCCTTTTCTGTACATATCCACTCTGGGAATTAGAATCTGGGACAAGCTTTGGTTTTAATTTTTTTTCTCTGATAATGAAGGTTTGTAAGAACTTCAGTCAGTAACTTTGTATTTCCAGAGATAGTATGTGCCTAAAAAGAACAAGTGTTCTTTTTAGACCTTCCAGAGCCCAGCTGTAAGCAACTGAACTTCACTCAGTGGGGTCTACAAAGTCCAGCAGAATGGTAACAGCATTTATTCTTTGGGTTTATATATCAAACAATACTTAAGACACCCTTTTGCCTTTCTGACACTTTCTGGGCTAAAGCCAGGCAAATTCTACTGCAGTGGTAACTTTATTGTGTATTCAGACAAGGATTTGTTGAATCCTAATTGTTTTTTTTCATTTACCTATTAATATAGATTGTATTCAAAAATAAGGCCAGTCGACCCTACAGTATTTATTTCCATGGAGTGACACTTGCAAAGAATGCAGAAGGAGCTGATTATCCTCTGGATCCCACAAGTAAAAAATTTGTGAAATACGTTTTTGCATATCACTAACTGTTACGGATGGTTTTGTTGCTTTGAAGGAGGTGCTGTAGCTGGGAATGTGCATGACTGGGAGACCTCAGTTCTGTGCTCTGCCTCTGCTTGCCTGTTGTGTTGCCTTATAGAGAAACCAAGGTATTATCTGCAAAGCAGAGACAAATACCCTCTATTAGTTGTATTAGTTTTCTATTCTTGTTTGTGATTTTAGAGAGACAAAGGTTCTTGCTGAATTTCAGTTATCTCAAGGTAGCTTTTAATGGCCAAACTACACCAATATAATTAGAAGGTGCAGCTTGATACTAAGAGCTGTCTCTGAATTTGTATCATTACTGTTCTTGTTTTTCCTTAGGCAATGGCACCCAGAGCAGAGGAGTTGAACCAGGGAACATGTACACTTATGAGTGGAAAATTGCTAAAACAGATCAACCCACTGCAAAGGATGCGCAATGTATTACAAGGCTGTATCACAGTGCTGTAAATATTGAGAGAGATATAGCCTCTGGACTGATTGGCCCACTTCTGATTTGTAAAAGTGAAGCACTGACGCAAAAGGGTGTGCAGGTAACTTGTTTGGGCAGATTTTGCTCAAATAATGCTATTTATTCTACACTGAATTTAATTTTACTAGAGAACTGTTCTCTGGAGAGCAGTTAAACCAACAGGCTCCTGAAGAAACAGTCCTGTAACTGTCCCCAGCAGTAAAGGAATTATGTTCTGTGTTTCTTAGCAAGCACTAAGAAAGGTCAACAAAAGGTCAGCCTGACTTTAAAGTCTATTTCTAGACTTGATAATAAATTTTCCTGCTATTATTTTCATACTCTGGATCTAATGGTTCCTTTCTGTAACAGAGACAACTCCACAGCATCTGACAATCTCAAGCACAATGAATCTAGAACAACCAGAACAGCATAGGAGTTCTGGGAGAGGGCTTCCCTTTACCAGTTATTGAAATCTTGCTTGGCAAAGACTTTTTCTCTCCAGCATCACTGGAGAGAAAAAAATGTCAGAAGCATTGTCAGGTCAAACCAGAAGTCTGGTTCTGTTACAGAGAGCCCAGTCATAAACCACCTGCTGGTGGTGTATCACCAGCGCTAGAGGCTTGCTCAGCGTTCCACTGCAGGTTGGTTGCAGTAGTAGGATTGAAGTCTGGAGCCTCTACTCCCTTCCACATAACCTATGGATAACACTTACCAGGACTCTGATGAAGCTTGTGTTGCTTACACAGTAAGAGGTTGTAGGATTGAATTTTTAATATGTGTGTCTGCTGATAAAATATAACTGCTGTGTTGATTGTTTTTCAGAAAAAGGCAGATGAGGAGCAGCAGGCAGTGTTTGCTGTGTTCGATGAAAATAAGAGCTGGTACCTAGAGGATAACATCAAGGAGTACTGCAGCAACCCAGCCACTGTTAAAAGGGATGATCCCAAGTTCTATAACTCGAACATAATGCACAGTGAGTGGAATACTGAGATGAATAATAGCTGAGCACTCAGTGATTGCTTGTTCTCAGAAGTACATGTGATTGGGGAATCCTCCAGAGAGTCAGTGAACTTCTAACTGTGCCAGGTGGCACTGGACAGAAAAAGGAAGTATCATAAAATTAGAAAGGTTGGAAAGGACCTCCTAGATCAAGTCCAGCCTCTCACCTAATACCAGTGTGCCCACTAAAACATATTGCAGAGTGCCATGTTCAATCGTTTTTTGAACACTCCCAGAGATGATGACTCTGCCACTTCCTTTGGGAGCCTGTTATAATGGTTATATACTCAGTGAAGAAATTTTTCCTAATATCCAACCTGAACCTCTCCTGGTACAGCTTGAGGCCATTTCCACTTGTTTTATTGCTAGCTGCCAGGGGGAAAAGGCCTACCCACACCTTGCCACTAGTAGCTAGGCTGGATCTGGACCCTGAAGCAAAGACAAGGGTTAACTAAATTTTGATGCAGCACCCTGCTGCCTTAGAGATAATATTTTCAGATACCATGGTTTCAGCCCTGTGCCAGTCTCTTTCCAGTGCACTGACATCAAAGAACAGGAGGTTTTAAAACAAAAATACTGAAACCACTTTTTCTTTGCTTTCCTTTTAGCAATAAATGGCTATGTGTCTGACAGCAGCGAAATCCTTGGGTTTTGCCGAGATACTGTGGTTCAGTGGCACTTTTTCAGTGTTGGCACTCATGATGAGATTGTCTCTGTTCGTCTTGCTGGACACTTTTTTCTGTATCAAGGGAAATACGAGGATACATTGAGCCTTTTCCCAATGAGCGGAGAATCAGTCACAGTGGAAATGGACAATGGTGGTAAGTGATGGAACTGTAGTGTTTGACAGCTCTTCTAAGACATTATTTAATCTCCAGTCTGTAAGGGCTTATCTAACTAAACAGGGGAGAAAGCTCTTCTGATAAACACAGTGCCAGAAAACATTGAATCATTCACCAGTGCAAGTGATGTGCATGGAGTCTTGCTGGCTACACCAACTTAGCATAATTGTATGCTGTACTGAGGTTCTTTTTGTTGGTCATCTTGTGATTTGTCTTTTTTTCACTTCACAATTCATACTGGGGTTAGTAATGATAATTTTAAGGTAAGATTCTTCTCGGAAACTGGTATGAGCTCCATTGTATGATCTCCCGGTTTGCCACATTCTTGTCTATTCTGAGCATTCTAAAATGGGCTGAAACTGCCAAGTTCTGCTGGTCATTACTGGGCAAAATGGCCACACTTGACCTTAGGCTTGAGGTCATTCAGCAGCAGTAAAGTCTGCCTGCCTGAACTGGGTCACTGGTCTGTGGGATGCATCTCAATGTCTAGAATTAACACCATGTCTTGGAAGAGGGGGCATCAGAACCCATGTAGTTTAAAGTTAAGGCATTACTTCCAAAAGGACAGATTCTGTGTCATTGAAATCTGTGCATTGTGAGTGATAATTCTAACTTCCTTCAAGGTTAATTCTAAGGATAATTCTAACTTCCTTATCGCATTTAAAATATCTTATTTTTAAATATATATATATTTTATGTATTGCATAGCATCAAGACCTTATAGCTTAAAAATATTTAAGTGGCCTCTGTTGCTCAACACTAGAGAATCATTAGAACTCTATTAGACTTTATGGAAACCTCCCCAGTAATAAAGTTATATTTTTACTTGATTTTGGTATGCAATCTATTCTTTCCACCTAGGACATGTTTTCTTTGATAAATTTGCTGTTAGAAATCAGGAAAGTTGTGCAGGTCACTTGAAGCTGATCAATACAGGAAGAATTGTATGTGACCTTTTCAATAAAAAACCTGTTTCTCAGGGTGTTAGTCTGTCTATGCTGTATTTTCTACTAGTTCCAAAAGCAAGGTGTAACAAGCAAAGAACTTGATTTGATGTTGTTTAGGGAAACAGATTTTATTTTATTCTCTGAAGATTCTAATTTCCAATAGAGAACTTACCTTGTGATGAGGTTTTGGAGGAATTATTAAAACCTTTAAATTAATCTGAGATGCCTCAGATTGGCAGCTTAATGGCTAGTGTTATATTGGAAATTCAAATTGCTTTGTTCTTATTTTACTTAGTAGAGATCATCCATGATTCATCCAAAAGCTTTTAAAATACAGTGTTTGTCAGATGTTTGTCAGCATTGTCTCAGGATGCATTTGCTCTGCTCAGAATGTTCTATCTAGGTAGCAGTGCATGCACCAGTAAGGACAGGATAAAATTGAAACTTCATCTTGAGAGGTCTCACCCTTAGATCCAGATCTAAACATAGGATCCTTTAATTTGTTTCTTTCTTTTTCACATCCATCTATTTCATGGGTTATTTTTGGATTCAGGTTCTAGTTACAGCTTAATCTGTGGAAAAGAGTTCCATCTCCTAGATGTATTTATATGTGCTCTTATTTGTCTACATTTAATAATTCTTTTTCATTGCAGTGAGAGCTCATTAATATCCCGGATGAAGATTAGCAGTCTGCTATAGCAGGTGCTGTAGAAGCAGCACCAGCTATTTGCCTTGACTGCTTACATGACTGACAATGTCCATTCTCATAACACTTTTATTTCAACTGCAGGTACTTGGCTTTTGGCATCCTGGGGCACCCCGGAAATGAGTTATGGCATGAGGCTGAGATTCAGAGATGCGAAATGCGACTATGAGGAAGATGAAACATTTGATTTTGTGGCTTTAAGTCCCACCAAGACTGAAAGAAAGGCTGTTACTACCTCAGCTGAGGAAGTTGTGCAGGAAAATGAAGAAAACAAGGAGGAATCAGATTACCAAGATTATCTGGCTTCTTTTTACTCCATCCGAGGCTCAAGAAAGGCAGCAGGTGATGAAGAAAAACAGAATCTTACAGCACTGGCCTGGGAGCAGTATGAAGACCTTGATGTCACAAGTTCTGAAGTGGCAGTTGGCTCAGGTTGGACAGCTATAAATAGCAGTGGAACAACAAACAACTCTAAGTTCTTAGAAACTCATATCACTCCTCTTCCCCCAGTCAAGGCTGAAACATTCCATTCAAATCACACATCAGTCACAGCAGAAAAGGATTTATTTTTAGCTTCCGCAAGTGATGGAGAAGCTGACTTGGTATTTGAGAATAGAAACCAAAGCAACTATGAAATAGCTCACAATAATATGTCTGCAGATGAACATTTGCTGAGCAATGGGGAAGGCCCAGTGAATATTGCAGAAGAGCTTCCAGCTGGTGGAAAGGACTTTAAACCTTTTCCAGAAAAACATCAAGAGCAAAGCACAGAAAGAGGAAATTATACCGCTAACAAGAAAAGGAAAAGGAGAAGCTCACTGGCCATTAAGTTTTACTCTGTCCAAAAGATGAATGCCCTTCTAAATCATATCCGAAATAAAAATGTCTCATTTTCTGACAAGACTTATGCACCTCATTATGTGCATCATACAGAGAACACATCCAATGAAGCCATGATGGGAACTGGCCAACTGCCAAATGAATATGATGATGATCTGGAAGAGGAGGGAAAGAAGATGGAAAATGCCATGCACACAGTTAACTTGACACTGGATTTGGACCTCATAGTAGGAGATGGGTCTAATGCATCCAGCCTTTCTGAACCCAGGATATCCAAAGATAAACCGGCAGATGTTGTTTCTTTAGAATATATGTTAGACAATAAAAACCCTAATTCCAGTCCTGCTGTAGTGAAGAACTTAGTAGAAGCATCATTGCCCGGGGCCAGGAAATATTCATCTAAAATGACTAGTGAGGAATGGAATTTGGTGTCTGCAAAGATGATTCCGGGATTAGAGCCAAGCTTAGATAAATCTGCTGGTGATAAGTTAAATCATCATGGCAGAAATGGTACAGCATCCATAAATAAGGAGGATATGAAGAAGTATCAAGGGTTCTCACATCTAATGGGGGAAAACCAGAAAGGGAGCCACATTCACCTAACTCAGAAAGGAAAGGAGGGAAACAACAGTACCTTGACTTTATCTGGAACCTTCATCAAGATCCGAAGGAGAAAGAAGGAAGACGCAAAAATTACCTACTTGCTGCGCCCACGGAGTAGATACCCCAAAAAGCCCAGCAATTCCATGGCAGGGTTTGGCCGTGTGTTGTTTCCGGGTGGGACCAACCACACAGCAGCGCCGTGTTGCACAGATGCCACCAAGGCAGCCAGTGAGGTCAGCCAGAGGGTGGATGTGAACAGAGCCAGGCACGGAGAGTCTCTGAGTAACACCCTCAGCCCGCGGCAGTTCAGGCCATCCATCACAATCGGGCTTCCCCGAGCAGACGGCGACTACGAATATGTGATAGGAGAATCCTACAGCGATGAGAGCTCGGGCGGGGAATACGAGTACCATTATGTGAGCTTTGATGACCCCTACATGACAGACCCCAAGGTGAACATTAGCAGGCAGCGTAACCCTGACGACATTGCTGAGCACTACCTGCGCAGCAGAGGAAATAAGAGAAGATACTACATTGCAGCTAAAGAGGTCTGCTGGAACTATGCAGGATATAAGAAAAGGTTTGCCTAAATCATTTGCTTTCACTTGGCACACCATCCTGAAATTTCCTTGCAGAATGTTGATTCACATGCTGATAAAGTCAAAAGCATCTGTAATGTGCCATCTGATTTCTGACATTTCAGTGGCAGAACCATAAGAATTTTCCACGGGAGACTCACCCCCCTTAGAAATGTCAGAGTGAGATTACCATAATCAAGCACAACACAGTTAAGAACTCTTTTTTTCTTTTTAACTCCCTTTTGTAGACTCGCTAGTAACAGTATTTAATACATAATTTATAAAACTCACTGTGAGAGGTCAATAGGGAATCTTGCTGCTTGTTTTGTTCTACTTGAATGTTTTACTTTGTGCTTCTGTTCTTGGTACATGTACACAGGACAGAGACCTCCTTGTGCAAAGTCTTTCCAGGAATTTAATGGACTAACTGATTGAATCTAGAATGGGATGTGCTTATAGGTAGATGAAATCAGTTTCTAGCACTAGCAGGAAATAGTTCTGGTGTCTCAGTTCTCTGTTGGAAAATAGGATAACAGCACTTTCCAACCTCACAAGGCTGCAGTATTAAAAAGTATATGAAAGCTGCAAGGTGTTTAACCACACTGGTGACTGCCTTATATTAAAAGTAAAAACAAAGCTGCTCCTGCTGTTTAGAGAAATCAGAAGGTGACTTGATCACAAATCCTAATGCCGGGGGATTTTCTTACATTTTGACAGGCAAGACTTACTACTGTGCCACAGCAAAGAATATGTGAGAATATACTGAGAGAATCACTGTACTAAAAAATCACTCTCTTAATTGATACAGGTTAGGTTCAGTGTTCACCTAAAAAGGCATAGAATTCCTTGTCACTTTTCATCAAAAAGCTGAACCAAAACTTGCATAACTTTGGATTTTTATCAAAGCAGCCAAAACAGGAGCAAGAATATTTTCATTTTGCAAAATGAATCTCCAAACATAGATTATTTCTTAAACTGAATTTCCATTTCATTTGATGGAAATAAAAATAAAAATAAAACTTTTTCAGTATTCTCCAGGTTTACTCCTGCCTCATCTCAGTCCGTATAAATGGCACTTGCAAAAATAGCAGAAACAAGACAGTTTCTTTGGGCACTTGCAAAATCAAGAATTTTTTTATACTTAGACCTCTATATAGGTCTCTCCAGCAGTGTTCATACTCAGCTGATGTGAGCTAAATAGTTCCAGTGAATTTATGAGAGCCCATGGCATATCCTGTCTCAGTGTGTTGAAGAGCTAAAAGCAGCTTTTCTGCTATGTAGCTTATGTTAAATGTCTGTTTTTTGCAGAATTGATAATAAAGCAAGATTTGTAGGTAATTATAATAGCGTTTCAGCGCTCCTATTTAAGATCTGAACAACAGTTTGAAGGTGTAAGAGTTTATTTTAACACCAGCTAAATGCAGGTATTATCAGATGTAAATATTTGAGAGACGGTATGGTGTAGGTGATAGGCTCACTACACTCAGCCAAGCTCCAATTCAGATTATTAAGGCTAAAAAAAAAAAACAGGAAAATAGAGCTCAGATGGGTTTTGAGAGACTTGTTGGAGTTTTTCAGGGATAGTTTACCAAATGGTTGGGGGATCTCTTATCCAACTGTAGAACTTGAATTGCTTAAACATTGCAAGCCATGATTTTCAGAATCATCTGACACTCATTTTGTAGATTCACAGAAGGTTGGAAAACACCTTTAAGATCATTGAGTCCAACCTTTAACCCAGCCCTGCCAGGTTCACCACTAAACAATGTCACTCAGAACCATATCCACATATCTTCTAAACACTTCCAGGGACCAAGACTCAACCACTTCCCTGGGCAACCCTTTTGGTAAAGAAATATTTGCTAATATCCAGTCTAAACCTTCCCTGACAGAGTTTGAAGCCATTTGAGTGTTTATTCTTTATATTCACAGAATTCTAAAATGTTTCTGCTGTACGAGTTGTCAGGTTTTATCAAAGCTATTATTTCTGATTCCCTGTGTGGGATTTTAATTGGGGTTTTCCTTTCAGTGCAATGAGGAATGACAAAACCTGTAAAGATGGCAGCAGACATAAGGTGATTTTCCAGAGCTATACAGACAGTACCTTTTTGACTCTTCAGGATGAAGATGAATATACAGAACATCTTGGCATCCTGGGACCAGTTATTCGGGCTGAAGTGGACGATGTTATCCTAGTAGGTCAATGTTTTGATTGTGTGTGCAGAATAAGATTCTTACAGTGATCTTGGAGTGTGACAGAATGTATCTAAAAATACCACAATTTTTTAAAAGATGATGGAGGGGAAACAGTTTTCAAAGCTAGAAATTGCACTGTGAACTTGTAAGCACTGTGATGTGTTTCTTTGAAACATATCTTTTTTCTCTCCTGTCCACAGCAAATTAAATTCTGTTTTTCTTTCTTATGTTTCCCAACATTAAATACTGGCTCACTGGTCTACTGTAAAATAAGATTCAGGTTTAATGTTAATGAAAAATGAGTTGTCTAAACTTAAAAATTAGTATATGTGTGTTCAAGATTAAGATATACTTTTTGGGAAAATACACAATTTCCTCTAAAAAGTTTTGCTATGTAAATGTGCAGGATTTTATTAGAACTGTCAACAAGGATGAAGAGGAACCATATCCCTGGTGACACTGAGATATATTTGCATTAGGAAGCACTGCTGTAAAATTTCCCTTCTCTTATTCTTCTTCATCCAGTCTTCCAACACACAGGGATGGACTTAGGGAGAATAGATCTCAGTGCTTTCTGCTTATTTCAGTAGGAGTGCAACAGGAACTTACCAGGCTATGTTTAAATCATGAGTCAGAGAAGAATAAGATATTGCAGCTTGGGAGTGATATTTTCTAAGAAGAGGTAAATAAGTAATCCTACTATCCTGGTGTTTCTCTGGGAGAAGTGGAAAGCACGGATTTCAGCAAGAATGATACATTCAGAGGTCTAGAGTTACTATAACAACTGCAACAAAGCATAAGAGGTAGACTCCCCATTTCCCTGCTGGCAGTAACTAAGCAGCTCCAGGTATGAGGGGCAGCAGTAAATGTCCTAGGAGCCTCGACTTGGTGGAAGACAGGGAGCTAGACTTGTGATTTTTCAGAGAACTACCTGTATCAAAGGTGGAGACTCTGCATGGAGATGCCTGGAGATCAAAATCTCTCTCTGCTGGCTTTTCCATGTACAATGTAGCCTGTAATCTTTATGCAAATCTTGATCTGGTTTGAGGTCATGGAAATATAGTGTGTGGGGACTTTGGTTTAGGCCTGAGTTTGCTGAATAGAGTCTATTTTGGGTTTTTTAGGTTCATTTTAAGAATCTGGCATCCAGACCATATTCTCTCCACGCCCATGGAGTCCTCTATGAAAAGTCCTCTGAGGGAAGCGTTTATGATGATGAATCTACTGCTTGGTTTAAAGAAGATGAAGTTCAGCCTAATAACAGCTACATATATGTATGGTATGCAAACCGGCGATCAGGCCCTGTGCAGTCAGGAGCAGCTTGTCGGTCCTGGATCTACTACTCTGATTTAAACCTGGTAAGGGAATGAAAATAGAAGTGGTGGTGTTGCTGGGGTTGATCACAGAACCATAGAAACACTTGTGTTGGAAGGCATCACCAGAGATCATCCAGTCCACCACTGCAATTCAAGCAGAGTCAGCTGGAGTAGTATATCCAGAGCCAATGTTCAGCTGGGTTTTGAATATCTCCAAATGATTCATGGCTATAGAAGTGCAAGCTGCAGAACACATTTTTTGATAGCTGTCCTTTCTTTTGGGCTCGATGTTCCCACCTGACATTAATCTCTTGCACTCATTTAAAGCAGGACATAAAGTATGGAAGAATTTGAACTGGGCAACTCTGGTAGACTGAGCAGGGAAGAGTAAAGATAGAAGAGAGCAGTAATTCTAGGACCTGCTTTAGATTTTTAGGGGCTGATGCCTTCCTGCAGAATGCTATGGGGTTTTTCTTATCTTTTCGGAAATCCACTTTTACCATTAATATGAGTTTATTACCTTCTAGGAGAAAGACATTCAGTCTGGTTTGATAGGGCCAATACTGATCTGTGAAAAAGGATTCTTCAGCAAATCAAACAGCAGCAGGACATATACCCGAGACTTCTTCTTGCTTTTTATGGTCTTTGATGAAGAGAAAAGCTGGTACTTCGACAAACATTCTGGAAGGCCTTGTAATGAGAAGACACAAGAAATGCAGCAATGCCACAAATTCTATGGTACCTATTTCATTTTGCCAAATATGCAGTTTATTGGGGTAGAGGGAAATATGTCAGGGGAAGTATTTCAGCTCATGGTCATTTTCAACATGCATAAATCCCCCACATTAGTTATGTGAATTTTTTTTGTTATCCATTGTACTGATAGCAGTCATGGGTTTACATGTAAAAATTAGCAGTGATGGGAAATTTGCTGTTAAAATAAAGAAAGGATATATTAGACTGAAACTTTCAACAGAAAACTTCTCTCTTGCATTCACATGTATATTCCCCCCATTAAAAGAAAAAAAGAAACAAAGAAGTCTTCTTTGCAATAAGAAGCAAGTACCCTCACATCTT